GTCTAATTTTTCAACTTTGTCTTGATGTTCAGGTGATGTAATTAATTAAGGTAGAATCTCAGTGTAATTGTTAAGGTGATGTGATTAATTAAGGTAGAGTGTCAGTGTAATTGTTAAGGTGATGTGATTAATTAAGGTAGAGTGTCAGTGTAATTGTTAAGGTGATGTGATTAATTAAGGTGAAGTGTCAGTGTAATTGTTGAGGTGATGTAATTAATTAAGGTAGAGTGTCGGTGTAATTGTTAAGGTGATGTAATTAATTAAGGTGAAGTGTCAGCGTAATTGCTAAGGTGATGTGATTAATTAAGGTAGAGTCTCAGTGTAATTGCTAAGGTTATGTAATTAATTAAGGTAGAGTCTCAGTGTAATTGTTAAGGTGATGTAATTAATTAAGGTAGAGTGTCAGTGTAAGTGTTCAGGTGATGTAATTAATTAAGGTAGAGTCTCGGTGTGATTGTTCAGGTTAGTTTAGTTGTTAATACGCGTTACATTTTAAGTTAACCAGTCCACTTCGCCGCCACTCCACTTCGCCGCCACTCCACTTCACCACTACACCTCTCCACCACTACACCTATCCACCACTTCACTTCTCCACCACTACACCTATCCACCACTTCACTTCTCCACCACTTACTTCCACCTCCACCACTACCCTATCCACCTCCCACCCTCCACCATTCCACATCTCACCACTTCACTTCTCCACCACTCCACTTCTCCACCACTACACCCCTATCCTACTACTTCTCCGCCACTTCACTTCTCCCACCACTCACTTCTCCACCACTACACCCATATCCACCCTTCTTCTCCACCACTTCACTTCTCCCACCATTTTAACTTCTCCACCACTACACTTCTCCACCACTACACCTATCCACCACTCACTTCTCCTGCCACTACACCTATCCACACTACACTCTCACCACTCACCACTCACTTCTCCCACACACTTCCACTTCCACCACTTCACTTCACCTCCCACCCTTCACTTCTCCACCACTTCACTTCTCCACCACTTCACTTCTCCACCACTTTACTTCTCCACCACTTCACTTCTCCACCACTTCACTTCTCCACCACTTCACTTCTCCACCACTTCACTTCTCCACCACTACACTTCTCCACCACTACACCTATCCACCACTTCACTTCTCCACCACTTGACTTCTCCACCACTTCACTTCTCCGCCACTCCACTTCTCCACCTACACCACGTCTTTCTAACCTTTGAGCATCAAGGGCCCACACACCTATGTAAATATTAAAGCAAACTCAATTTAATGATTATTCACAACTTCATGATAAACAACAGTTGTGATTTGCAAGAACTATAATTTTTTCCCTTACAACCAATAATAACACAAGAATGAATTATAGACACTTCATTTAGGTCTCGTGTTTACCATTGGCCAAATGTTACGTTTTTCCCCGAACCCGAGACGTGAATACTGATATCGGCTGATGCTCTTGTGTTTTAACTTCCTTATTCTGAGAGACGTCATTCTTAGTCAACATTAACGGGAAATTCCTCAATACTTTATAATCCTCCCCGGACTTGATTATACAAACTCTTATATTTCTTCATCCTTGTATTTCATAAAATAATAAATTACATATGAAAAAAAAATGCATTTTATGAAAGAAATAAAAAAAAATGATAAGGAGTGTTGGTGGTATAGCAGTAACGTGTATCTCTCACCAACATGTCAAGGGTTCGAGCCTCTGCCCAGACACACGTGAGAAGGGTGTTATCCAGTGTGACCCTCACTACCACACATCACAGGTTTACTATAGGTACTTCAGTTTCCTCCTGTACTAACACCTGATACACCAACTACCTAAATGACTAGTAAGCTGATAAGTGGCGAATTTATTAACAAAATAAATAAATAAAAACGAAGAAACGTGGATATAAATTTTAAACTTTTCATTACACAGAAGAATTAAGATACGAGGAATAAAAGAAACAAAAAACTCATCTTAGCAGCCCGGAATTCCTGTGCTCTCAACCGCTATATTTACTACGGAACCATACATAACGACCTCTAAGCTACCAGGAAGAGAACCATACATAACGACCTCTAAGCTACCAGGAAGAGAACCATACATAACGACCTCTAAGCTACCAGGAAGAGAACCATACATAACGACCTCTAAGCTACCAGGAAGAGAACCATACATAACGACCTCTAAGCTACCAGGAAGAGAACCATACATAACGACCTCTAAGCTACCAGGAAGAGAAACCATACATAACGACTCTAAGCTACCAGGAAGAGAACCATACATAACGACCTCTAAGCTACCAGGAAGAGAACCATACATAACGACCTCTAAGCTACCAGGAAGAGAACCATACATAACGACCTAAGCTACCAGGAAGAGAACCATACATAACGACCTCTAAGCTACCAGGAAGAGAACCATACACAACTACCTCTAAGCTACCAGGAAGAGAACCATACATAACGACCTCTTAGCTACCAGGAAGAGAACCATACATAACGACCTCTAAGCTACCAGGAAAAGAACCATACACAACGACCTCTAAACTACCAGGAAAAGAACCATACACAACGACCTCTAAACTACCAGGAAAAGAACCATACACAACGACCTCTAAACTACCAGGAAAAGAACCATACATAACGACCTCTAAGCTACCAGGAAGAGAACCATACATAACGACCTCTAAGCTACCAGGAAGAGAACCATACACAACGACCTCTAAGCTACCAGGAAAAGAACCATACACAACGACCTCTAAACTACCAGGAAGAGAACCAGGTTATTAATCCATACAAGAAACTCATCAGTCGTGGCTTGGCTGTCCTCACTAGACATTAAGTCTAAAACATCGAGAGTTTATTTAAATTTCCATTCATTAGGAATGTCTCTACAGTGGCTTAGCAGTCTCTTACAAAGGACTATGGAAGGGAGAAGGTGGTCATGTCCTCATTCATCATCTTCTTGAGTCAGTTCGCCCAGTGAGTCACGTTGTATCCGAAACATCAAGAGTGACGTCACCAAAGAGAGATTAGCACTCTCTTGCTCCCAACCTTAGTAGATATAATGATTCAATTGACCGGAAATACCTTTACCCGAGAGCCTACCTGCAACCCATACAACTAGTTTAGACGGGGGTGAGGGGAGGAGAAGGGAGGGTGAGGAGAGGAGGAGGAGGGGGTAAGGAGGGGGAGAGGGGTGAGGGGTGAGGAGAGGAAAGGGAGGGTGAGGAGAGGGGAAGGGGTGAAGGGCGAGGAGGTGAGGAGGAGGAGAGGGAGTGAGAAGAGGAGGAGGGAGGGTGAGGGGAGAAGGAGGAGGGGGGTGGTGGGGGGAAGGAGGAGAGGGGTGAGGGAAGGAGGAGAAGGGGTAAGGGGGAAGAGGGAAGAGAGGAGAGGGAGGGTGAGGAGGAGGAGGAGGAGGAGGGGGAGAGGAGGAGGAGGAGAGGGAGTGAGGAGAGGGAGTGAGGAGAGGAGGAGAGGGAATGAGGAGAGGAGGAGAGGGAGTGAGGAGAGGAAGTGAGGAGAGGAGGAGGAGAGGGAGTGAGGAAAGGAGGAGGAGGTGAGGACAAGAGGGGGTGAGGGGATGACAGGAGGAGGAGAGGGAGCTGGAGGGTGAGGAGCAAGGAGGAGAGAGAGAGAGAGAGAATGAGACCATAATAGGGTAAAGGACGAGTTTGTTGTGACTTTGCTCTGATCTCCCATTGAAACATAACAAGTATTCACCACAAGTCTCAATCGACCATTCTGCCTCACTCACCCGACGGTAAGTCTTGTTATTCAGCTAAACTCCGACATTAACAGAATGTCTTAATCTCATGTCCTACTAGGGGGCGGGGTGAGGGTTAAGTGACATTTCACTGATCCTCGTTATGTAAGATGGTCTCTCCCTACAGGCATGTCTGGCTACCTTGAGACCTAGAAAGGGAGCGAGGAGTGAGGGGGCTACGGAGGGAGGGAGCTATAGGGAGGAGAGAAGAGTAGGAGGGAGGGAGGGAGAGAAGGGGAGCGGGTTTAACACTGTCTTACCACACACGACCTCATCAAGAGAATTCATTAAGACTATGAATTACTTTTGTTGTCGGTCGTTAGAGCGGTAGGTGGCTCCCTTAATTGTTATATTGCTCTCTATTAATAAAGGGAATCTTGGAAGGCGTAAAAATAAGTCTTCATTTCCTGCCTCGAAATTAAACCAGGGATGATGAAGATGGTAGCAGGAGGAAGGATGAAAAAAAATGTTAATTAAAATCCGAAGAAGATGGGGAGAAGGGGAGTAGTAGTAATTAAACGATGATGTAGACGAGAAGGAGGAGAGAAGTAGTAATTAAACGATGATGTAGACGAGGAGGAGGAGAGAAGTAGTAATTAAACGATGATGTAGACGAGGAGGAGGAGAGAAGTAGTAATTAAACGATAATGTAGACGAGGAGGAGGAGAGAAGTAGTAATTAAACGATGATGTAGACGAGAAGGAGGAGAGAAGTAGTAATTAAAGGCATTTCATAATCTCTGACGTGACTAATTTTTTTTAGTGTATTTATAACCTCAGATTTTCTAGGGCAAGAGGTACAACTTGACGCGTGTGGCCCAAGGTATAAACATAGTCAGCAGCTCGCATTCTTCTCGACAATTAACTCTCGAAACTCGTACGAAAAAATATTAAATATGTTTTCTTTTACTTCCTAAACGACGAAGAAATGTAAATCAACACAACTTTCTGTGTATCTATAGTTTACGTACAGACCGGGAGAAGACTGATCCTGAGTTTTCTATTGACCATGAGTGTGAAATATATCCTTTACCACATTAATCATTTTTCCGCAGGTGACGTGACTAATCTACCACATATATATCTCTCTCTACCGATTTCTTTCTCTTCTAAATTCTTGTCATCTCTCTTCTCACTTTTGTACAGGTGGCACAATTAATCTACCAAACCAGGGACAGGTAATTAGTCATCTACCTGTATTAATTACTGCCGGTTGTCTCGTCTCAGGTAACTACTGTGATGATTCCGGTGGAGGTGGGGTGGGCGGCGACGGTGCAGTGGATGGCGGGCGACACCTCCTGTAGGATGTTCTCCTTCTTCAGGATATTTGGCCACTACCTGTCCTCCTTCATCCTCGTCTGTATATCCATCGACAGGTGAGTGTCACGGGGAGGAGGTTAATGAGAGATGTGAGGGAGAGATATGAGGGAGAGATGTGAGGCATGAGATAGGTGTGAGGGAAGGATGTGAGGGAGGGATGTGAGGGGGTGTTGTGAGGGAGGGATATGAGGGAGGGAATGAGGGAGGGTGAGGGAGGGATATGAGGGAGGGATGAGGGAGGATGTGAGGGAGGGATGAGGGAGGGATGAGGGAGAGGGTTGTGCCTGAGGGAGAGGAGAGGATATGAGGAGGATGTGGATGAGGATGAGGAGGGAGGCAGGGAGTGAGGGGGGTGGAGGGAGTGGGAGGGGGAGGAGGGTTGTGAGGAGGATGTGTTGTGGGAGGGGAGTAGAGGGAGGGCTGGAGGGAGTGCTGGGAGAGGGATATGAGGGAGGTTGTGGGATGATGTTAGGCTGTGATGATGGCTGTGAGGGGAGGGGAGGAGGATGTGAGGAGGCCAGGAGGGAGGGGCGGGCTGTGAGGGAGTGTTGTAAGGGAGGGATGAGGGAGAGGGGAGGGATGAGGAGGGATGTGAGGAGTGAGGGGAGGTTGGAGGGAGGGATGTGAGGGAGGGGAGGGGAGGGAAGGGAGGGTTGTGAGGAGAGGAGGGTTGTGAGGGAGTGTGTGGGGAGGATGTGAGGGATGTGGGAGGGAGGGTTGTGAGGGAGGCAGAGAGAGGGATGAGGAGGGTGTGAGGGGAGGCTGGGAGGGAGGTTGTGGGAGGGAGGGTGAGGGAGGTGTGAGGGGAGGTTGTGAGGGAGGGGAAGGTGTGAGGGAGGAGATGTGAGGGAGAGGTTGTGAGGGAGTGTTGTGAGGGAGGTTGGAGGGAGTGTTGTGAGGGAGTGCCAGAGGGGAGGGGAGTATTTCAGGGAGGGATGGAGGGAGGTTGTGAGGAGGGATATGAGGGAGGGATGTGAGGGAGGGAGGGAGGTTGAGGGAATGTTGTGAGGGAGGGATGGAGGGAGCATTTTCATGGAGGGATGTGAGGGAGTGTTGTGAGGAGGGGAGGGAGGGATGTGGAGGGAGGAGGGGTGTTGTGAGGGGGTGTTGGGAGGGAGGGTTGTGAGGGGAGGATTGTGAGGGATGGGAGGGAGGGTGTTGTGAGGGAGGGGGAGGGATGGGGAGGGAGGGATGTGAGGGAGGGATGTGAGGGAGGATGAGGGAGGAGGAGGGAGGAATGTGAGGGAGGGATGTGGAGGGAGGGTTGTGAGGGAGGGATGTGAGGGAGGGATGTGAGGGAGGGAAGGAGGGAGGATAGAGGGAGGGATGGAGGAGGAAATGAGGGAGGTTGTGAGGGAGGGTTGGGAGGGAGGGATGGGAGGGATGAGGGAGGGATGTGAGGGAGGGATGGAGGAGGATGAGGGGGGATATGAGGGAGGATGTGGAGGGAGTTGGAGGGAGCTGTGGAGGGATGGAGGGAGAGGGGAGGGCTGGGAGGGAGGGTATGAGGGAGGTTGTGAGGAGGGAGGGGAGGCTGTGGAGGAGGGGGGAGGGGCTAGGGAGGGCTATGGGGAGGGAGGGAGCAGAGGAGGGGTTGTGGAGGGAGGGATATGAGGGAGGGATGTGAGGAAAGAGGGAGGGATGTGAGGGAGGGCTGGGGAGGGAGGGATGAGGGAGGGATGGAGGAGGGTGGAGGGAGGGATGGGAGGGGAGTGAGGAGGAGGGTTGTGAGGGAGGGCTGTGAGGGAGGTTGTGGAGGGAGGGTTGTGAGGAGAGGCTGTGAGGGGAGGAGGTGAGGGAGGTTGTGAGGGAGAGGGAGGGTTGAGGGAGGGAGGGTTGTGAGGGCTGAGGAGGGGGAGGAGGGCTGAGGAGGCTTGTGAGGGATGTTGTGAGGGAGGGTTGTGAGGGAGGGGTTGTGGAGGGAGTGTTGTGAGGGAGGGTTGTGAGGGAGGTTGTGAGGGAGGTTGTAGAGGGGTGTTGTGAGGAGGGATATGAGGGAGGGATGTGAGGGAGTGTTGTGAGGGAGGGTTGTGAGGGTGGGTTGTGAGGAATGATTATGAGGGATAAGTGTGGGAGAGGGTTGTGAGAGATAAGTGTAAGGATTAGTATGAGGGATGAGTGTGAGATGATAAGGAAAGGTGGTGTGTTGGAACCACCATCTCACCTACAGCCCAAATTCAATTACGTCTGTCATAAGAGTTATGTGTCGGGGTTAATTTATTTCCTTCACGTTCACAAATTATTCAATCGGGGAATTTTTTTTTTTTATTTGGTATCATTTTTCTCTCTTGACTTTTTTTAGATTTATTAAGTTATTTTATCGTTTAACACAACAGTAACGCTTTTATTTTTTTCCTTTCTACTTTTCTTATTTTTTCTTTCTTTTTCTTTCTTTTTTCTTTCACCTTTACTTTCTTTATTTTCTTTTTTTCTCCTTTCCTTTCGTTTATCTTTCTTTTTTATTTTTTTATTTTTTCTTTCTTTTTCTTTTTTCTTTCACCTTTTCTTTCTTTATTTCTTTTTTTCTCCTTTCCTTTCGTTTTTCTTTCTTTATTCTTTTTTTTCTTTTTTTTCTTTTTCTTTTTCTTTCACCTTTTCTTTCTTTATTTCTTTTTTTCTCCTTTCCTTTCGTTTTTCTTTCTTTTTTTATTTTTTTTTATTTCTTGTTTTCTTTCTCCTTTTCTTTCTTTTTTCTTTCTTTTTTCTTTAACTGTTATATTTCTTTTTCGACTTGTTTTGTGATCCTCAAAATTAATGAGTCAACACACAACTAAAACATTAAACTTAAAACTACACAACGAAAATAAAACAGCCATTATAGAAGCCCAAACAAACAAACAAAAACAAACAAACAAACAAACAAACAAACAAACATACAAACAAACAAACAAACACACACACATACATACATAACAAACAGCCAAACAATAAAAAATTAAATAAAAGCAAGAAACAAACTTCCAAAACAAACACACATACAAACACAAACAAACACAAGCAAACAAACACATCACGACAGCAGCCAAGAGAGCAAAGTAGCGAGAGAAAAATGCATTATATATAGCGAGAAGTTACCATATAATTTGCATATTCGTGAAACTCCATTGCAAAGGCTGCAGAGAGTCAGTCAGTTATTGCAAAGTTCCATCAAGTTTTCCTGACGAGGTGAATGTTGCAGGGTGATAATAATAATGATAATAATAATAATAATAATAATAATAATAATAATAATAATAATAATAATAATAATAATAATAATAATAATAATAACAATAATAATTGGTGGTCTCGTACACAGGTGGGTCTCGTACACAGGTGGGTCTCGTACACAGGTGGGTCTCGTACACAGGTGGGTCTCAACTCACACAGGTGGGTCCTGCACACAGGTGGGTCTCTGCACACAGGTGGGGTACACAGGTGGGTGCACACAGGTGGGTCCGTACACAGGTGGGTCCTTACACAGGTGGGTCTCTGCACACAGGTGGGTCTCGTACACAGGTGGGTCTCTGCACACAGGTGGGTCTCAGTACACAGGTGGGTCTTCGCACACAGGTGGGTCTCGCACACAGGTGGGTCTCTACACAGGTGGGCACACCTCTCACACAGGGCCACACAGGTGGGTCTGCGGCCCACAGGTGGGTCTCATGCACACAGGTGGGTCTCGTACACAGGTGGGTCTCTGCACACAGGTGGTCTCATGCACAGTGGGTCCTGCACACAGGTGGGTCGTGTGGTCCTGCACACACACAGGTGGTCTCGGCACAGGTGGTCCTGCACACAGGTGGGTCTCTGTGCACACAGGTGGGTCTCGCACGCAGGTGGGTCTCATGCACCAGGTGGGTCTCGTACACAGGTGGGTCTCTCACACAGGTGGGTCTGCACACAGGTGGGTCTCATTGCACAGGTGGGTCTGCACACAGGTGGGTCTCTGTACACAGGTGGGTCGTCTGCACACAGGTGGGTCTCAGCACACAGGTGGGTCTCACCGGTCTCTGTACACAGGTTGGGTCTCGTACACAGGTGGTCTCGTGCACAGGTGGGTCTCTGTACACAGGTGGGTCTCGTACGCAGTAACAGAATTTTGGATTAGGGAAACAATGGAGGCTGGTAACCCACTTTGTGTGTGTGTGTGTGTGTGTGTGTGTGTGTGTGTGTGTGTGTGTGTGTGTGTGTGTGTGTAAAGTTTCGTCCAAATGCGCCACACTGCAGTAACTTTTAACAATAAATTCCTAGACGTACTGTAGTCATGGCCAGCCAATACACCATAACTAAAGCGAGTAATGTTTTCCCCTCACATTGATAACATTTTAGGAGACAATACAAAGCTCTCTCTAAATTGGTGTCCTGTGCATCATTGTCGATTTACTGTGCATCATCGTCGATTTATTGTGCATCATCGTCGATTTATTGTGATGTACTGGGGGGAGGAGAGACGAACTACCATTGTATATCACTCTTGAACAGTTTTCGCTCGACTCACTATATCCAACACTTTAAAACAAGGCGTCCGGATACATAAGCTTCGTTCTTAACTCCCGTTTCTAACAGATGAGTGAGGACGTATAAACTGATTGGTTCCGTTTATTTATCGCGCCAATCACTAGTGTCCACTCCTCCACTCTCGCACAGAATGTAAACACTCACTTCAATAACTAACTTTATGATTTTGAGAGACAATATGACACAATGGAAGAAGGATTTTGGTATTGCTACCCAGTCAACAGTGTGAGTTTTGAGAATTGTTTAACCGAACATAACCTAACCTAACCTTAAACTAATTTAACATTAACCTAACCTAACCTTAAACTAACTTAACATTAACCTAACCTAACCTTAAACTTACTTAACATTAACCTAACCTAACCTTAAACTAACTTAACATTAACCTAACCTAACCTTAAACTTACTTAACATTAACTTAACCTAACCTTAAACTTACTTAACATTAACCTAACCTAACCTAACCTAACCTGACCTAACCTAACCTTAAACTAACTTAACATCAACCAAACCTAACCTAACCTAACCTAACCAAGATAAGTAATAACAAATGAGA